TATATATTATGAATTATATAGAACTCTATATCCCCTATAGTTTATTCCCCCTATATTATATATATTATCCCCCCCTATATCCCTCTAATATCCCTCTATATTTTATCTGCCGTTCCTTTGTTTTATTACATGACCGGCCCATCTGTGTTTCGCTACCGATATGTGCCCTCCTTGGTCTCAAAGACGGGACAGATTTCGAAAATCAGAGCTTCGGATTCCGGCATTATATTTTGAGTCTCGATTATATTTCAGAAGTTATCTTTTAAAACCGTGGGTGAGACGCAGACTTCTTGGCGTAGTTAAAGTATCACCCCATGTCTTTGCAGCATAACAGACCACTCTTAGTACTGTTTAATCGAGAAGATGAGCGGAAATTTTCGGATCCTTCTGTTGATCGGTGGAATCTTTACTCCTTTATGCTGTTCTCCATGTTTCTTGAACGTTTATGGTACACGCACGAGGTGATTTCATTAATCAGAAAACTATTCAGTTCGACTTGTTTACCTTCGCACCATGAGTTCCTTATGAACCAAGTCTTCTTCCGATTTATGTGTAGTGCGATGTTCTTCCCGCGTCGTTAAGCTTATTCATTGATCCTGAGCTCTGCTTCACTGGTAATTTTTGAGAATATGACGATGTTGTCGGCAAAACAGATTTTACATGAATTTTCTATACACACGCACCCTTTTTTCATTCTAATCGAGCGACTTCATTATCCACTGCATTGCGGCACTAGAAAGTGATAGGCGATATGTTGCCGCCTTGTCGAACACCTTTTACTATGGGTATGATAAGAGTTTGGAGAAAAAGATGTATTTCCGTAGTGCAGTTCCGATAAGATTTAGATAGTGTTTCTGTGTAGGACGAATCCACTCTTTGGTCGACGATACGATTGCATTCGTTTCAGGACTGTCAAACGCGTGGTCATAATCAAAAAAAGTTAGGACTAGAGGCCGGTGGAATTTCCAAGAAGCCTCTGCTACACTGCTCACAGTTTTGATGTGGTCCATGCTTGCTCAACTGGTTACACCTCGCCCAGTGTACTTGATAAGTCCTAAAGGAAAGTTTTTGTAAAGGGCTTGTAGAGTACACACAACAGGCATTTCGGACGATAGTTACAAAGACGTCCTCGGTCACCTTTATTGGGCAGGTTGACTAAGCCTAACGTCTCTCTAATTTTTCCTTGTGAAAGTAGGATGTCATATCGTTTGTCATTTTCCTGGAGCTATGTGTTTTTTCTTGATTTCTAATACAGCTCGAATCTCATAGGAAAGAATTTCAGAAGTTTTTCTCTCCAGAAGGATTTTAGACTCAGGTATGGAGACTTTGGAATAAATGAGGTTGGTGCGGATTTTTCCGTTATTTATTTCGAATCAGGGCAATGATTCGTTCATCGTTTATCCGGGCTGACAGAGGAACATCATATTCGAATAATTGCCGATGACGTGTCTTCATTTTACGCTGCTTCTAATAGCTTCTGCTTGTGCCGATCTAGATTTTCCTTCAAAGCTCTTCTGAAACTGTCATTTATTACTAGCCGCGTTAGGCGAGACAGAGTAGGACCATGGCTCAGTTTTCTTCACTTCTCGAGCAACCCCTCAATGGTGATGGAGATACGATCCGATCTTCTTGCTTGAGGAACTGAGGCGGATCCGGCAAAACTTTTAAGTCTTCCGACAAGCAGCTTGTGGTTTTCGGTTGGGCCTTTCTTCATATGCCAGCTATGTTCGGATAGTATTTCGTTAACGCTCTGATCATGTCCACCTAGACTTTTTCCCTTTTTCCGAAGACATGAATTCTTCCCCAGTTCATGGCTGAATCGAATTTTGGCACAAAGCGGGCGGGTATTGGACCCTAAAAAATAATGGGACTGTCAAAAAATGATGCGTCAAGTAGGAGGGATCTTCTGTTTGTCAGAGTATTTCCGCATGAGTCGTGCCGTTAGGAGGCTCCCATGTCCTGCGGGTACTTCTCTTCTTCGTAAGAAACGAGTGCCCATTGTAGAAGCTTGCAGCAGACAAGGGTCCTGTAAAACTGTTTTCACTCTCATTTTTTCTCCCAGGCCAAATTTTTCATATTCGCTTTCGCTGGCTTTTATTATTTTGACGTTACAGTTCCCGACAACAAATTTATAATACGATTGCAAGTGCGACGGCAGATAAATTCTTCAACTTATAGGAGAATGCATTTAATTCGTACTCATCAAATGCTCGCTCGGTGAGTAGCAGTTGATAGCTACCTTCTTATGTTTCCTTAGTTGAAGAAACAGAACGGCATTGTTAAGGAATGAATCTCGAACGTGTCGACAAAATGGACAATGAACGGGTGGAGGACAAATGCTACGCCACTAACATTTCGTGACAGGACCTTTCCTCCATGGATGACAAGGGTTCCGTTGATTAGTTGGCGTATGCCGGTCCTCTTGCTTTTTATTTTTTGTACAGCGATAACAAAAGGTCCGTTGTTTGATTGGCCTCAGGCAGCATTCTTGCTTTTTATTTCTTGTAAGGTGACGACATAAAATTTGATCCGATCTGTCGCTTCGAGAATTCTTGCATTATATGTGCAGAGCAAGAAACAACGCCGTGCGTATGCTCATCAGATCCGGTTCCACTGACGTCCGACGTCCTGGTAAACCCAAGAGTTTGTGGCCTCTCATCGGCCGTCTTACTGCCTGTCGTCCTAAGACAGATGCATCCGTTCTGTGAGCTGCTAAAACTGACCTATTTGGGCAATTTGATCTTTCATAGAGCCCTCAATCAACTTTGCAAGTGTATTTCCAGGTCCTCACTACAATGATGGGGCCAGGAGATGCACTGTTCATCAACGATTCTTTCGTTCGGCTTTCCTCCTAGTTGATTCGGACACGATATTAAAATTGAAATCAGAATTGGATGGTGGAAAGAAAAATTGCCCGACAGCTCAAGGACGATGTGTAGACCGGCCTATTGTGACGTCTAAGGTCTCCACGTTTCTTTTAATAAGTTCCATAAGTGGTCTGACCTTCTAGAATTTGTTTTATCCAATAGGCATCGACAAGAATTCAGTATAGGCTGAAACACAGGCAGACAAATAGAGCTGAGCTAACAGCGCTTTAAACGCATTTCTTGTCACTATTTTGGATCCAATAACGTTCGCCATGAACAGGATGGCCCCACAATGAAACCGTAAATTTAACCAAAACTGGTTGCCTTCGATGACTCAGGGTTCCTAAGGCTTTGCAATGTTTGACCACTCGTCGCTGATCTCATCACCATTGTCATCATCATCTTTGTCTTCTCCCTCCTATTTATTTTTTTCATATTGCTCGACGGAAACTGCAACACATTTCTAACTCTCACTGGCGTCTCTGGCTTCTTCCTCTTTACTCTAGACCAACAGCCGGAAGTGAAGTTCAGCTCTTATTCTTCTGATTTAATTCAATTGTATGAAATCCATCCTGTTGACCTAATTGGTTGTTTCTTCCTTCCAATTCGCCATGGTCAACGACAGCTTGATACTTGATACTTGAATGGTCCGTCCTCATTGGTTGTGCGGGCCCCAGCGTAATCTCCATTTTTCGGAGATTTCCAGGTTAAGCCATTATGGTTCCTTGGAGCCCTGAGGTCATCCTGGCCAAAGTCTGCTCTAGGTCTTCATCACGATGTGCAGTCACAGCTCTTGTGGATCAGAGGGAGATTTACCACCATGTGACTTTGATATCAGGACGGTGGTGGTTCCTGCTATTGGTTTACTCTTAGCTAGGCTTTCTGACAAAAACGCCGGACTCCTTCTCAGCTTAGGAGACCCTGCCAGGGAATGAATTCCCTGCTGTACATCGCAGTCCGACACCCAGGAACACCTCCCAGCCACGATGAGGCGGTAAACCGTTGTGAGGATCAACAACAGCTGTCGTATGGAATACGTGAGTATAAAAATGCTTGGAAATACCGAAATACGCATTCTTTTATTGACAACTCAACAGGACGTTTTAACGAATAGTTATTCTACCAACATCCGACGGCTACGTCTTCCTCGGGGTCGGTGATCCGAGTCGATGATCCACAATTGTTGGTTTTCCGATGTAGCGTCTTCGTCTTCCTATCTAGTCGAAACAGTTTCCATCTATCAGTCAGGGCAATTTTCCATGTTTTTTTCACGCCATGGATGGATGGCGATAATCCACAGTCACCGCAGTTGTTTTGTAGAAACAGACGACGGAGTTTCAACAAAGTAGTAAAAGAATCACTTTTTCCGGGTTCTCGTAAAAAGAAGGAAAACTTTTGTTTGAACAAAAACTGTAAGCATTGAAGTTGGCGGCTCTGATGAAGGCGAAGGCGTCGAAACGTTAGCCAAATAGGGATTATTTATCAACGAAATGTAAGTCTATCGAGGAAAGAATGCGTATTGACTAGTTGCGTCGAGGTTAAAGGAAAGTCGCTTTTAAAGCGCCGAAATACACATAATTCGTGCTAGAGAACTGACCATCACGATCTGACATGTAGGAGAGATTGTTGCTAGTGAAGACGGCAGTGCCATATCTACGATCGCAATAACATAGCAGAAAGAAACGGTGCTAAGATGTGAACGCTGCAAAGACACACGGCCAATTCCTTTGCCGTTGCTGAGTGGGGTAACAAGAGGGTGTTGCTAAAGAGAATGTTGCTTGATATCTCAACCTCTCAGTGCCCCTCGTCCTCAGCGAGAAATCAGGGAGAAACCTATGAAAGCAGCTTAAAACCCACGAATCCCATTATATAAAAGCACTCGCAAACCACAATGATCCTCTTCTTGATCCAGAATCGGCGCCGGCAGCTACGAGATGGAGGACGTGGCGAATGTTGCGCGTTCTCCGTAGCTCCCTAGAAACATGGAATCTCACGCCGTAATATGGTCTTGCAATTGCTGAGCGTTGCTAGTGTTTCGTTTTTAGGAGCATTCTGCGTCGTCTGATTTTGTGTACGTGTCATTGATCGTGACACCGGAAGAAGACTCGTTCGAAATGCTCTTTTCAGGTTGCGATGGATGCGACCGATAGGCAGATTCTTCGAATTTGCAATGAGTTGGAATGGTTCGTCTCGCGTCTTGATATTTTTTAAGACGTAGTGGAAACTGTTCCAAATGTTTTCTTACTGCCATTTTAAGTTTATTCGCTTTCAAGAATGAGCCGGATGCCTTCTTTTTTCGTCGTCTGGGAAGCCACTTTGGGATGCATTAGCAAGTAACCAGTTAAGATTAGCCCTCGCTAACATAATCCGTTCGTCCGAGTTCTCAGGCAGTATCGCTCAGCCACGTTTGAAACCACCACTTCGTGCGAAGCCAACGTTCGTTAAGTCTGGATCTTTGTAGTGGCTATTATTGTGGATTTGGTGCTACCATGTTGTACACTCATGCATTGTATACTCTGCAGTAGAGGATAACATTGCTGAGTAATTCTATTCATTGTAGGATTCACCGATCCTCTGAAGAAATGGCGAGCACTGAGTGTCGAATACCTGAAAACATAGCATTTGAACAGTCTTCTACCAGCACCGAATTGAGTGACAGACAGACTTACTTGGATGGAATGTTGTTTTCGATTGCAAACAAGCAGGAGGCGCTTGCAAAGGTGGCTTGGAAAATCCATATTGTTTTGTTTTATGGTCTTTTTAATCTTCATTGGACATTTCAAGCTGCACTTTAGATGAACATGTTTTTCTAGACTCTGGGGAATTCTACCATAAAATTGTGTCGATTTTTGAGTGAGTCTCAGTAATCCAGCGATGACGAAGATCTTTCTGTTTCAAAGGTGTTTAGCTTCACTCTCCTCCCAACGGTTTACCGCCTCATCGTGGCTTGGAGGTGTTCCTGGGTGTCGGACTGCGTTGTACAGCGGGGGATTCATCCACTGACGGTCTCCCAAGTTGAAAAGGAGTCCGGTGTTTCCATCAGGAAACCTAGCTAAGAGTAAACCAACACCGGGATCCACTACGGTCCTGGTATCAAAGTCGCATGGTAGTAAATCTTCCTCTTATCCATAAGGGTTGCTACTGCCCGTGGTGGTAAAGGCCTGGGGGGCAGACTTTGGCCAGGCTGACCTCGGGATTCCAGAGAACCATAATGGCTTAACCAGGAAATCTCCGAAAAATGGAGATTATGCTGAGGCCTGCACAACCTGTGAGGACAGGCCATTCAAGTGACAAGTAAGTAAGCTTCACTTTTTCTAAGTTTTTTGTTTATCGCTGGGGTTGCACTTCGATTTCGTTGTAAGCGCATGGCTATAAAGAACTATCTGGGAACGAATCAAAACTTAACAGCATTTGAGAACACGGTCACTTTTTGGTCTTTGAATGTGCATCGAGACCAAGCCGCAATCTGTCATGCTGTTCCCGCTAAAATGAGCACAAACGCATCTTTTTTTGAGTTTTTCTTCCCTCGATTCGTTCTCTTCATATGTTTATCAGTTATTTCTATACTTTCCTCCCAACGCTTTACCGCCTTGTCGTGGCTGTGAGGTGTTCTTGGGTGTCGGGCTACGATGTACAACGGGGCTTCATCCCACTTCCACTCCTCCTCCCCCCGTAGGGTTTCCCAAACTGAGAAGAAGTTCGGCGTTTCCACTAGGAAACCCAACTAAGAGTAAACCAATACCTGTATGGGCCACCGTCCTAACATCGAGCTAGCCGCATGGTGGCAAATCCCCTTGTGATCCACAAGGGCTGCGCCTGCTTGTGGTCGCGACGACCTGGGGCAGACTTTGGCCAGGCTGGCCTCGCGACTTCAGGGAAACACAGTGGTTAAACCAGCGTAACTCCCAGAAATGGAGGATTTGCTGGCGCCCGAACAACTAGTGAGGATGGACCGTCCAAGTGTCCATGTAAGCAAGTATATCTTCACTTCGTTTGCTTTTTGCTTCGAATATTTACTCTTATAGGTTTTCCTTTGCTTTTTGGAACATTTCCTCCTCTGTATGCGATCAGAAAGCTCATAGACCACGTAGACTCGGTGCTATCAACGCGACTACATTTATATCAGTTTTGCAGGACATGTACATTCTATTTCGGTTCTAAATTTTTTATATTTTCTCATTTTATACGTTAACCGTGGTTCATCATTGTGAATGGAATTTTAAAGACAATCACTTTTCTCTAAATATTGTGCTTTATATTTTTTAACCATTTCGGCCGATGACAAATTGTAATTCATTTTTGACCATCAAAAATGCACAGGAAAATACTGATGTCATGAACGCCTTTTGCTTCCCGTGAAGCATTTTCAAAATAGTGAATCCGAAGATGAGTAGGGACAAAAGAGTGTTGTGCTCAGATGGTCAAACTCAGTAGTATGGTGCGAGCAGCATTGCTTCGGGAGGAATCATTCTTTGTCGATCGACCAGTTCTGTTTGTACTAACATTAAAAACACATTGATGTGGTCTATTTGGGATTAGCTTATCATAGTGAACACATACGGACAACATATGGGTCAACCACGAGAGAATTGTTGTGTAGATGGATTCATCGGTCTCTGTTTTCATATTGTTAGACGATCACCGCTGGCGATTTAGTGGAATTGCAGTTACTTCTTTGGAAAACTCTCATTTATACTTGCGGTTATGGCAGGAACCAGATGTGAACAGCCCTCAGTTCAGGCAGTGCAGTGCGCAGATTATTGTTAATTACAACAAGTTGCAACGAATCAGATATTTTGGGGCCACAGTAATGCATGGTGGGTTTTGGTTCAGGAAAGTTACCAAGTGGTCTGGGTACTTCTAGTAGACCGGACGAGCACCTATAGAAGTGGAGACCTTGTGTTGATTGCTATAGGGAATATCAAAATATCAATAGATGTGCTGTAAAACCGAGCTCGTACGTTTTCTCTGTGTGCAGCCAATTTAGGAAAACTTTATGCTTTCGTTATTTCAATTCTAGTATCAAAAAGAGTGCGTGTGGCGCAGTGGTTGAAGGCACCACTGCGGCACACACGTGGAATCAATCTCCGCGCAGATGCCTCACCAAGCCTTCTATCACACCTGGGTCGGCAAATTGGTACCACATTTGTCTGAGAGGTTAGCAGCACTGGTTCGATACATCGGTAGGCCACCACGAGTCATTGTCAACTCCAGATGTGTATTCATTCACCTCCAATGATGCTTAATGAAATCGAATGCATGGCGCATCTCTCAGTGATTGATCAACGCCGAGAACTTTATCCTTTTTTGTCGTTTATAATATCGAGAAATGTAATCTGTGTAAAAGTACAGATTCTTTTGAAAGGTTGTGTGAGTTTTAAGGTGTAGGTTGGTGTATGTGTGGACAGTTGTTCTTAATCGGGAAGGGTTCCGAAGGCACATGAATAAATTGCATTTTGGGAGCACTTGTCAGTACTCGCTGTACAAGTGCATGTCGAAGATCAGGTACCATATCAAGGGCAAAACGGTAAGGTTCGTCGCTAGAAGGCCGAGAAAATTCGTTGGAATCAAAATGAAGAATTTATTGTGTCCCTGTAGGTTAAGGTTATTACTTGCTTCCTGTAGTTTTAGTGGAGAAGTGCATACAAAGCGCGTTTGTTACTGCAATATTCTGTTCAGTTAGCTCTGTCGTAGTATTTATTGCACTGAAAGAGTAGTGAAGAAGAATTTTTACCGTAGTAGTGAATATGTTGTTCTACTATAAAGCATTGTTGTTTAGGTCGAAGGTGAGATTGCAGTTTATCGCACAAAGACGACTTCTATTACTGAATGCTTGAGTCCAAACAGCGATGATATTCTCGCCTTCTTAAGGGATCCTGAATTATCAAAGGTTAAAATATTGGTGGGTGCCAATGAGTGCTTCCATGAATATGTATACTGATAATATTCTGCTTTCTTTCATGGCAGTGATGTTGAAAATTACTTGCTAGTCAATGAGATACTTCACATTTTTCGATGTTTTCCACTACATGTTTGGCAAGCCTTTTATGAAAAAAATTTGTCCTTCACTTCGTTTATGGTAGAAGAATAAAAGAGTTTAAGCGTACGGTTGTTTAAAGAAAGGAAGTAACTTGCAAGACTCTTATAAACCAAAAATTTGGTGCATTGTAGCGTATTGTGTTCTTTCAGGCATACCTTGAACGGTTTGACGACCGTATGAAGAGATTTTTGAAGGAATTCCGTGATTCTCGCGAGGAGCTCGTTTATGAGTTGAGGAGATTGCAACATCAGCAGTTGCAGTCGGTAAGCCTACCTGTGCTATTATTTTACCCACTTAATGTCTTCTTAATTTTAGGGTGTTCATTCTCGGCAAGAAACTGTGAACAATCGCGAAAAACTTGAAAAGGCGCGGTACGAAACTCTCAAAAATAACCACATTGCCGAAGAAATGGTGATTCAAGTTGTATTAATCTCCCACTTTTGGTGCCACCTGTAGTTTTGGTTCATTTGCACATCTGTATTCCTTTCCTATATCGTTTTTCAGTTAACCCTGTTTAGAGGAAACTACTAGTATCTAACCATCACTACAGAAAACCATCATTACAGAAGAAATACCTCAAAGGCACGAAGAGATGTGACATTGATCGAGTATTGATTGTGCGTAGAATAATGGAAATGACAGCAAGCATCCAAAGGCAAAGTGAAGAGATCAACAAGGTGGGATTGGTTCATAATATTGTCTTTAAATTAATCGTGTTCGTTAGCTAATGTGCTTTGTTTAAAATCTGTGTGGATTTAATATCTCATGTGTTTAGTTGCTAGCTGCCAGGTATTTATGTTCATAGTATATCATCTTACAGGTATTTATGGATATCTTCGCAGTGCAGCGAGAGTTGAAATGGCTTACTCAGACACTCCATCGTACATTCAGTACGATTGAGGAGGCCTTGTTCAAGGTATAAGTTTGTTTTCGCAGCTCTGTTAACCAAGCGGTTTTTTTGTTTCTACGATGTATCGACCAATGTAGTTTATGTTCAGCAGGATCTTGCTAACAGTAAAATATGTGCTTTTAATAGTGTTCAATGAGTTTACCGTACATTTCCAATTCGTATTTCAATGAACTAAAAGGGGTCTAGTAATTTTGTTGAGAATAGGAAAACGGAGGTTAGGTCGGCAATGAAGAAGGCGCCATCATAACTGGTTAGTGAAAACAACGAAAAGTAACGGATGTATAGGTGGTAGAGATGGTATTTTGGCTCAGCATTTATGCTTAAACTAAGTCGCGTAGCATTACATCTCCACTGTTCTCAGCATTTTTAATCGTTGGGACTGTTTTCATTCAGAAACCAACAGCATATGAAATGAAAAGTGTTTTTAAGTTCCTATTTTCATCTGGTATTGACCTTATGAAAGATCATACCGCTTTTTGTAGGAGGTTGAAGACCAGAAGGGAGAACGGGCGTACAAATTGTTTGGGAAGCTGCATTTAAGCTGCATGGCATCAGTGGAAGCTATTGAAAGAAATGGAGCCCTTGCACGCCAAAATGAGGAGTTGACGAACCTTGTTAGTTTTTTCTTTAATTTGCAGTTTTTGTCTTATAAGCTTTAATCTTGAGAGTTGACACAGTTTTTATGGGAATCTGATGTTAGGTGCTTTGGATTTGGTTTTGTTCCACTTGAAATTTTTTTAGATTGAGATCGAAAAGCAAAATCGATTTGATGATCAGCTGAAGCGCATTCAGGCTGACTTAGAAGTAGTTGTAGAAGAGAATAGGAAACTCGAAAACCTGTTAACTGAATTTTCTACCTGATTGTTATGTTCCTTAGCAAAGCGGGACACTGGCCCTTCATCTTCCCTGCTGTCGTATATGCCTCTAGGTTTCACTTAATGAATTTTCTTGTAAACTTATTATTTATTTACCCAGATTTTTGTTGTCGATAATGTAATAACAAAATAGCAGGAATCTACACCTGCTCATAGACATCCGTGATCTCTTTCGTGATCCTTCCCGCCCAATATGAAATGGTTATTCCAACTGTATGGAGCATTGATGCATTGATGTTCCTTTTTAACACATAACGGCTGCGGTTTCTAGCATCCATGCGTCTCGGAACGACGCCTGATTTTCACTTTCTACGGACTTACCAGTTCTTTTCTTGTCAGTAACCGAAAATCTTTCGATAACTAGAGGAGTTGAGGGGTTGTGAACATGGCACTGTTATAGAAGAAATTTTGCTTTGTCGTTCCATAGATATGGTCGGTATGTGCACTATGAATTACCACATAAGGTTCGAGGTCCACTTTGTGGAGTAAATGACAGGAGAACAAAGTGCGTTGAACTCTGTGTCTTCCAGTTCAGTGCTTTATTTTGCAATACAGGCCTTTTTTACTGCTTTTTTCTTATTAAATCTGCTGCTTATACAACACAGATAATGTGTTAAGCCCGTCCAACTCAATTAAGTTGCTTGTTAAATGGCTTTTCGTACAGTTAGTAATTTCCGATGAACGGGTTCGTTTTGCTGCGAAGGATTGACGGTGTAGAATAGAATATGTATTACGGATACTAATGCGGGTTACGGCGGAGGAGAAACGTTTTTCCTTAAATATTGAAGTTCTTCCCCCAGGGATATGTATTCCCATGATAAGACGATAGATCATCGAAATCTTCAAAGTGATTCGAAGATCACAGCGTTCATTTTCCTCAGTTTAGCTTTAGCTGTATAACCTACCTCTTCATTTCAGCTTTTTGTATGGATGCCAAAAATATAAACTTGAAGAATGAAAGGATAAAGCTCTCGGTGTTGATCAATCACTATGGGTGCCCCGTGCATTCGACTTCATTAAGCATCGTTAGAGGTAATTGAATGCGTATCTGGGCTATACAATGACTCGCGATGTTCTCCGGATCTAGCGAATCATTGCTGCTATCTTATCAGAGAAGTCTGTTGCTAATTTGCTGACCCCGGAAGGACGGAAAGCTTGGTGAGCCTTGGACGAGGGAGCGATCCCTTGAGTATTGCATTACATCGCTATCCACTGCGCTAAATGCTTCTGTAGATTAGCACACTGCACTTTTCTGCACTGATCTCTTATCCAAGGAGAAATTGTGTGCTAACTACCGGTATAGAAATACTTTTCCTCACAAAGAAATCAAAGAAATTTCTATGTAAGCTTCACCACCACAGAGTATACACAGTTCCAATAAACTCCAAAACCCCTTGGGAATTCTTACTTCTTGTTCAAACTAGCTTAATTAACTTGAGACCGCATTTTCGTTTCATATACGCTACGCTTAAAGCTGGAGGCCACAGATTAGAATTCGTTCTCACACCACACATGAAATCGTGCTTACGGAAATGGAAAATCTCAGACCGGTGGAAGACTTTGGTCACTCTCATCCTACCGAAGAAGAGTGACCAAAGCGATCTCAGTGGAAGGTTCCCACTAAGTGAAAGACCATCAGATAGCGGCAACTGTCGCCCAATTTGCTTAATGTCTGTCGTCTACAAATTGTTCGTTCAAGTCGTCTTAAATCGTATTGACAAAACACTGGACGAAGGTCAGCCATGTGAGCAAGCAGGATTTAGAAAAGAATTCACGAAGATGGACCACATCCACACGATAATAAGACCCGTTGAAGTATTGTGACATTACGAGAGACCTCTGTATCTCACTTTCATCGATTTATGGAAAGGTTTTACTCAGTTAAGATAGGACTGGTCATGTAAGCGTTGGACGGCCACAACGTCCGTACTCAAACGTACTGTGTGAACCAAAATATCACCATTCTCCATAGCCTTCTACATCTACGTCAAGAAGCCAATGGTCGACAGTTATACCATCTTCGCTTTGCTCATGTCAATGTTCTTTTAAATCTAAGCATTATCCAGAAAGTGTGAATCCTTGCAGACATTGACAACGCCTGTGGAAAGATTGCTCTTCAACTAGATCTCACAAGAACGACATTCGTGAGGAACGGATTGCTTATCTATACCCTATTCGCGCGAAAAGGAACGGGTTTCTTCGATTGCTCCAGTTACGTCTAGCTAGGTCGGAAAATCAATATAATGAACGACGTAACTGAGGACTTGAGTAGGGAGAAGCAAGCAGTTTAGGGTGCTTTAAAGCGCATCGAGGATATAGTGAAGAGAACGAAAAATAACGAACTTCATGCCGGCTTTTTGGCTACACAATTCTTCCTGCTCTAACGTTTCCCTCAGGAAGCTACGTGAAGAGAATGAAAAATCACTCCGTTGTATAGAATATGTGGTCAAAAAAAAACGATATTAGGAGTATTTGGTTTCGCACACGCGTGGAAACGATTGTGAAGCGTCAGCCTACGTCAACCGTGAAAAATCAAAGGCGCCATGATATCCTCCAAGCTGTCGGAGATAAGGTGGTAGGCAGGAGCCCTTAATTACGGGATTCTTTGGGTTGTCAAACGTACTGCGGAAAGACCACCGACCCGATACGCAGAGTTTTTCACGAAAGCTCACGAAAGAGGAACGGTATGATGCTCAACATGATCCTGGAGCGAGCAGCACCTACTGGGCTGCTCTTGCACGCGACAGAGAGGAATGCATGATTTCCTGGAGCCCGCCCGAGTCGCTTAACAATCAACATGATGACATGTGATACTCAAGTGGAAACCCGTTTTTTTTTTCAACTTTTGAGCGTTCAAATTAACTTATGGAGGTGTGAGGACATCACAGAGTGGTACCGCAAGCCAGATAATAAAGACATTCTGGTACTTTAATTCTCCCGTCATCCTTCGAGCACAAAGAGGCCCTTGTGAGAGACGTGTTTCCGACAGCCAGCAATGTGTGAATAGGGCGAGAGCAAAAGGAAGAATTTTTCAGTTTGGCGTAGCAGATAACAATTACGAATTACTACGAAACAGTAGCTGCTCGGAATAGATCTGGACAAAAAACAATAAGTCGGAATAATCATCCGTTTATTCTACCCTTAAATTCCAGCAAAATAGGTACAGCTATAAAATATAGCTTAGAAAGTGCCAGCCTAAATAAATTCATAGCAATGATTTAAATGTCACCGAATACTCTGAGTCGCCAACTTGTTCGCAAACGATTGCATGGCCGACGACGAAGGTACCTCATCGAGAACACGAAAGAAATGTGGACAACGACTCGAACCATCGTCTATGAGAAAGACGGAAACGTCGAAACGTTATCATAAAAAATATTTAGTAACAACTTCGCGTTACCTGGTGTTATTTTATCAATAAAATAGGCTAGATTGATCGTTTATACCGAGGTTAAATGGAAGTCGGTTTACTATGATTGTATGGTCATTTATGTGAAAGGCAAAATTGCACAATCTGCTCCAACGCTGCTACGCTATGCCACTCTACATCTGTGTACCTAGTTGGAAAAGTAAGGTAGCAAAACATTCCACTAGTCCCGTATAGGGCACAAAAACAACGCAGAAGTCAATGAAAAGTCAGCATCCTCGCATAGCGATCTACAAGATCCGCGCTGAAAACTTTTGGAATATTTTGGATAATTTCCAAAAATGAATCGCAAGAAGAAGCGTGTTGTGATTGGATTATGCGAGACCTTGCGCTATACCTCAGGATGATTTTACCTGATTTAAACCTGGCACATTCCTGCACCGTGTAGAACTCTGTATGGCTGGTCTCTACTGAGGCTGGAAAGCTTAACAGGGACAAACTTATTAAGTGATAACTTAATAAGTTAACTTAAGTGATAACTTAATAAGTTAACTTATTAACTTATTAAGTGAAATCACTTGATCAATGCCGAGGTTAATAGAAAGTCGGTCGTGGCAGTTACAAACAAAAAATTATACTTCCACGTGATTTCTGTGCGGCTGGTCTCTACGTGACATACTTAGTGGAAACCTCATAGAAAGCGGCTCTGAAGAAGGCGAAATCCGCCGAAACGTCAGCTTAATCGTGAACAAAGAATAGTAACACCTCGCGTTTGCTCAACAAAAATACGAAGAAAATCACAAACTTATTAATTCTCAGGAGAAGTTGTTTTCCATGTGAATAAAACCTTCCAACAGTTTACCGCCTCATCGTGTCTGGGAGGTGTTCGTGGGTGTCAGGCTGCAATGTACAATGTACAACGGGAGATTCATCCCACAGCAGGGTTTCCCAAGCTGAGAAGGAGTCCGGCGTTTCCATCAGTAAGCCTAACTAAGAGTAAGCCAATACCAATACCATGATCGGCCACCGTTCTAGTATCAAAGTCGCATGGTGGCAAATCTCTCTGGTCCACATGGGCTGCAACTATCCGTGGTGTAGACCTGGTGCAGAGTTTGGTCAGGCTGACCTCGGGATTCCAGTGAACCACAATGGTTTAATTAGCAAATTTCTGAAAAATAGTAATTATGCTGGAGCCCGCACGACCAGGGAGAACGGGCTGGTCAAGTGTCAAGTAAGTAACTATCTGAATAAAAATCTATGTATTAATATTTCGAAACCGACTTTCCCTGAACCTCGATATCACTAATCAATATGTATTCTTTCTTTGATGAGCTTACACGAGGTTGATAGTGATGTTTATTTTCGGCTGACATTTCGACGTCTTCGTCTTCCTCAGAGCCGATGATCCGAGTCGATGTCGAAGAAGACGAAGACGTCGAAACGTTAGCCGAAAATAAACATCATTATCAACCTCGTGTAAGCTCATCTATGTATTAAGTTTTTTCTGCTGCGGTTATGAAAAAGTTTTGCTCACTTTCAATCAGATTCACTCACAAACTACGTGTCAGTTTGTCCTTCAAGGCTCTGATAAAAGCTAAATGGCTAAAACATAAACCAGT